GGTTGTGTGGGTAGATGAGTGTATGGATACTTAGGTGAAACGTTTAATAGTCTGGTCGTTTAATTAGTCGTACGGTCGATTGGGGTTGTATTAGTCGGCCGTTTGGTTGGCTAGTGAACAGTACTCACACTAGGTTCCATCCATATGAGATCAGTTTCTGCCAGTCTGTCCGCTGTGACCGGTGTACTWGTCGCAATCTTAAACTGACATAAGCTAAAGTTAGCTCCACCACTCGCTACGGGTCCCTGAATTCCTGGGGGTCCCTGTGACCCCTGTGACCCCGGTGGACCTTGCGACCCTGGAGGGCCAATTGGACCTTCTTGCTTACTAACGTTCGATATCTAGTAAAATAAAAACACAGATTAAGTTCAGGTATTTATCCCAAACCGTAGAAAATACAGCCAATCAGAATTCAGGAAAGCCGTTGTAAATTCTTCCTTCCCATCATGCGCTACGCACTGAATCTATGCATTTGTATTTTCTATAAGGATCAAGGGATGAAATATAGAAAGGAAGTGTGTGTATACAAAAAACATAAAAATGACAAGGGGGATATTCCGTGGTATGTCAGGAGTAAATATAATATTTTAAAGGCTGTTTGGAAAAAAATTGATTTGACGAATACGAATTAAAAAGTTCAAAACCTTACATGATACTACTTTGGATGTATTCAGTGGTTCTCGACCTTTTATAGTTAATAGAAACTTTGCACCATCATCGCGCCGGCGCTCATAATACAGTTTGAACTACCTGAATGTGGTTAGATGACAGAACCCTAAAACCCTTTGCTCTCGGGAATTGAATTCTTTCTTATGTAAAACGATTGTATTGTTCCTGCCATCTAACATGGCTGCCGTCACGTGATGGTGCAAAGCCTCTATACCATATAAAGATGATTACCTGGTTAGAGATAAAGTTATAGTGTAATCGAGCTTGTAACCAATTTTTGGCTAAGTTTCAATATTTTTTCTTGCTTATATATATTGTATTCAAATCTGGTTCTAAAAAAWATTGTTGTTGTTGTTGTAGTACGAGGAGAAAAAGAATTAACCCAAGAATCGAATAATTTAGTTAATGATTGAAAGTGGTTTATATAGCGTTCTTTTCTACGTAATACTCAAAGGTGCTGACACGTGTTTGGTATGTATAAGGTGTAATTGACAAGCCACGTCGTCCAATCTTTGCTTGTGTTCAGTTTCCCATGTGTCTTTCTGATCTCAGTATTTCTTATTCAAAATATTTTTCATATGTTTTCGTACCTGATCGGTAAGAGA